ACAAAAGGTCCAAACCCGACATCATTGCCGTGACAACGGGCCGAAAGCCTCTCATCGCCGTGACAACGGGCCGACAGCCTCTCATCGCCGTGCCGACCGTGGGATCAAATGTCTCGTGACACCAGAGACCTGCACTGAGCAGCAGAGAACACGAGACGGAGGGAGACGGTCGACTTAAACCGTGAAACGACGACAGAGAACGAGTTTGACAAAAATTAAAGTTAAAAAAAAAAAAAAAACAAACCGTGAAACGACGACAGAGAACGAGTTTGACAAAAATTAAAGTTAAAAAAATAAAAAAGAAGCAAAAGAAGATGAAGTGAAACACAAAGAAATTAATTTAAAAACGGTGGAAAAAGCTCAAGATAACAAATTAAAATCCACCTGAAACAGCTGGAGTTGTAATATTTAAGTTAAGGCAGTACGGGAGTGTAAATGATTCACCTGTTAGGGTTTAAAAGAAAAGTATAATAATTACTATTGATCATAAACATTCACAGGACTCATTAAAAAATAACAATATACATGAAAAAAGGACTTACTTTGAGCTGAACGTGTAGATTTTTTACATTTTACTGTAGTTTTAACTGTATTACCATCAGAACAGTTCTTGGTTTTGAAGTATTCAGTCTGTAGAGCAGCTGCTGTTCTGTGGATCGTCTCTGGCACATTTAAACATCAGTTATATCGACTCCTCTGTGTCAAAGAAAGACGAACTTCAGTGTTAAATGAATCATTCTGAGTCTAAAAATCTAAATCTACCGGAATAGTTTGAACGTTAGGATTTAAAATGCTTCAAAAACGATATAAACGAAAACTAAAACAAGAGACAAGAAACTAAATGAGACGAAAGCAGAAAGAAGGAGAGAAAAAACGAAAGCAGGAGACGAAGTAAACAGACAAAGCAGACAGACGGAAAAAGGAGAAGATGGAGAACAAAGGAGGCGAAGGACAAAAGGGAGGAAGCAGGAAAACGAAGCTGAGTGAAGAGCGCCGGCGACGATGACATGCCGACGACACGCCGCGCTCCCATTGGTCGGCCCTCCGCCTGACCCTCCGCGACCCTCCGCCTGCCAATCAGCTCCTCACAGAAAGAAGCCGTTGTCTGGAGAACAGCGATGAAAAACGAGGCGTCGTCGGCATAACGACAGACTCACATATCAGCGGCTTCCTCACGTGTTCGTCATCTGCTGACCGTCTGAGTCGTACCGTCTGTGGACACCTGGAGCAGCGCTGGACGATCAGGCTTCGGCCATTTTTTTGCAAAATAAGAATAAAATAACAAAAATAAAAACAGAAGAAAAACGAGACAGAAGCAAAAAAAACGCCAAGAAACTGCTGCTCAGACCGTTAACCTCACAAACTGTCTGATTTTCTGACATTTATGCATCTTCTGACTCATTTTTGCCTGTTTTTGTGTTATTTGTGTTACTTTTTGTATCACCTTTTACATATTTTTGTGTCGGTTTTGTGGCATATTTACAACTTTGTGTGTAATTTTTATTGATGTCATGTCAGCTTTGTCTCATGTTTATATCATCGTTACATATTCTGTTTCATTTTTGTCTTTTTGCAGCTTTTTGTGTCCTGTTGTGTCAATTTTACATAATTTTATGTCATTTTTGCATCTTTTGAGTCATTTTTGCCTGTTTTTGTGTTATTTCTGTTACTTTGTGTATCTTTGTTTTAAACATATTTTTGTGTCATTTTTGTGGCATATTTACAACTTTGTGTGTAATTTTTGTATNACACACACACACACACACACACACACACACACACACACACACACACACACACACACACATTTAAATACATTAAAAGTGACAAATCAGGAAAAAAATAAAAAAATAAAAATAAAATTTAAGTGTATTTTCGTTGTTGGCTTCATTCATTGAAAACAAACGAGGCCACAATCATTTTAAGAATTATTACATTTTAAAACAATTATTTATGTGTCAAATATAATTAATTAATATATTAACGTGTAATTTAATTGTAAATTTGCTTTGTTTTGTCTTCATTCAGACACGATGCTGCTGAATAATCACTTAAATACAAACACTGAAAATAAAAGTAAATAATTAGAAATAAATATCATAAATAAAAGACACTGAATGATGTTAAAATAAAACTAAACCGTAAGGTGTGCATTTGTTTGTTTTACTGGCTTTATTCACACACACTGAATGTAAAATCTAAATAAAACTATAAATAAATATAATTAATGAAAAGTAACACAAATACACACACAATGAGCAAAATAATAAACTCGACAATAATTAGTCAATATTAAATTGTGTTAAGATGTAATTCAGTATTTTCACACACTAATAATATAATACTAAAATAAAATTAGAAATAAATATAAATATTAAAACACATCGTGAACACACACAAAATAATAATAAACTCTATATTAATTAGTTAATATTAAATTGTATGAAGATGAAAATAAACATTAATTTGAAGAAAACAGCAACAGTTCCTGTAATTGCTGTAACATCTAAAACTGATTAAAGTTGTGATCATTTAACTGTTTTGAGCTCAGATTAGATTTAATATTTATACTGAATTTTCTGTGTTTAACAAAATGGAACTTTATGAACTTTAATGAATAATTCAGAGTTAATAAAACTCACGTGTTCATCTCCGTCTCCCTGCGAAGCGCTCGAGGCCTCGTCGCTCCACTAATTACAGGTTCCTGTGTTTCAGACTCGCAGGAATTCCATCCGTCTTTCACAACCTTTAATTACAGAGTCGGCGTTGAGCGAAGACGACCGACGAGCGCTGACGGTTTTATGGGGAAACATTTATTTTATCCGTCGGACGCCTCCGAGACTCGATCCGACTCGAGACTCGACGGATTTCTGGGCTTTAAACTATTTTTTCAAACAAGCCACGAAACAAAAGACAATTTATGTTTTTTCTTCACTACATAATTAATTTAATTCATTTTACTGCCGTCTGACTCAGAAGCAGAAAGTTAGGAGCATAAAGTCCTCATTTCAATCATTAAAATCTCTAAAATCATTTATGTTCTATAATAAAAAGGCTTAATTATGAATAAAATGAAGTCGTCGTCAGAGAGGATTCAGACTTTTCTTTGGTTTTATTTCTGCACTCAGATGAAACTCATTTTGCTTTAAATCATGAAGAAGTTTCACCACGAAGCTGAAAGAGAATCCAGATCTCTGATGTGTTATTTCACAGCATCAGTTTGTCATCAGAAGGTTTTTGTTCAACACATTGATTTCTTTTCTTCTTCTTTTTGTCATGATCATGTCCAAACCAACCGAGCGCTGCTCTGGAAGCATCAGAATCTGTTTGATCATCACCAGCAGCACAGAAACGACTGCAATCATCTGGTGTTCATCAGGTTTAATCTGGTAACTCTGAGAGAAAAATAAAACTCATTTTATAAACGACTACTGGATGTTTTCCTGCTTAGAAACGGTCAAATATTAGTGGGAATGCTGTTGTTAATAGTCCTCTGGGTATTATTTGGAGTTATTCATTTTAATCCTGTTCCCTCAGCTTCACTCTCACCTGCTTTGATTTACTTCTTTGTTTTGGTTTTATAAATTAAATTAACTTAAGCAGTTATTAATCCAACAGCATCAGACGTAGTTAAGTTATTGCATTAATAATAATAATCATAATAACCATAATAATAATAATAATAA